TCAAAACTTCCTCCTTCTGTACTCGAAATCCCTGAAATCGGGTAGGAGTGGCCGCATTTTTCAACTTAACCTGAAGGTGTCTACAGTCGTCATCCTTGCACTTGATAGTCAATGTCAGTGCGGCTGCGTGCGGCGCGGTCGCCCGCACCCGTACTGCACCAATCGTTGAACCAGGAAGTGACATTACTGTATTATATCCTTCGTGTTACTCGTTTTCTATCACTTTTTGTCGCATACGCGTTTCAACGAAAAGGCTGAGAAGGCTTCAAACAGTGTGCACGCTCCTTCTCGCCGACACGCCCCTATCAAGTGCAAGGATGACGACTGTACATCGGCTGGCCCCGCAAGTCATTGTATAGGCCACATCGCATTCAATAAGCCACTACGATTCTGAATGGAAGTAGAATGCGTGCCGCATCCCAATCCCAATCATCTTTCTCCTGGATCGAACCCAATAATGTGAACAGGGAATGAAGTTTTCAAATTATTGTGTTGGTCCATAATGGTGTTTTTTTTCTAAATTTCGCGTAAAGATGAAACAGTTAGAGTTCCAGTGATTCCTTCATTTTTAAGCACATTCTCTTCTTCACACCTGCGTAAAGAGCTGTAAGCGCAGAGAAGCAATGATCTGGCCTTCGCACCGAATGCTTACCGTCATTTACTCTTCATCACATTCCATCTAACTGGGCTATAGTTACCGTTAATGTCCCGATCTTTGAGAGCACAAGACTTCATTATCTATCAGTGATTATCACATTCTGTCATCCCTCATCAATGCTCCCATTCCGCCCCTAACATCGGTTGGTGGAATCAAGGTGTCATAGTTACTATGGCACGTGTAGCGATTCAGCGAAACCTAGCGAAACCTTCATTCCAACGTGTCCGATACGCAGTTATCAGTCATTATCACTTCCTGCCACCCACCACCAACTCTCGTCCTACTCCTTACATCACCGATTGGAACCAACGTCCCGCTGTTGCTGCGATGTAGGTGAATCACGTACTGTGAATGTCGTCACAAACAGACACACCCAGAAACACACACATATTCGGGGATGATATAGAGTAATCCTACCGATTCCGGAGTAGGCAGCACAGCAGTGTTCATATCGTCCTCCTAAAAAACAGCTGTTAAGCAAAAGTTTTGGTGTGGTTTGTTCCCCATCAATGTATTAGAAGGAGATGATTTGAATTTTGCGAAGAGGAGAAATAAAGCCGTAGCAAACCATACCGGTTTTGGAGTTGGTGGCACAGCAGTGTTCGTATCGTCCTCCTGAAATGTTTGTATTCGATCATGAGTTTCAAAAAGATATAGAGGACATGGCCATGCAATCCAGTGAATTAAATTAATGAATAGGAAGTAGGATCACAGCGAAACAATACGTATCAAGTAAAAGTTTTGTTGCTATAGCTGCTAAAGTTTGTTCTCAGTCAGTGTGTCGGATGACTCAGAATTTTTGTGAATGACTTTAGAAGAGAGAAGGAGAGTAAAATTATAACAAATCATACCGGCTTAAGAGTAGATAGCACAGCAGTCTTGGTGTCGTCCTCCTAAAAAATAAGTGTCAAGCAAAAGTTTCGACAGAGTTTGTTCCATCATTGAATTAGAAGGAAATCAAGAGTTTTGTATGGAGTTTTATGAGAGAAGAGAAGAGCGGAACCGTTATAGATAGTACCGGTTTCGGAGTTGGTGCCATAGCAGTGTTCGTATCGTCCTCCTGAAATGTTCGTATTCGATCAGTTTCAAAGAGGTAATCTCCGTTAACGCCTCAGAACGAATGAGAGGACATGATCATGTAATTCAAACAATAGAAAAAGGCATACTTTTTGATACGAATAGGAATTAGGATCATAGGAAATCATACCGGTTTAGGAGTAGGTGGCACAGCAGTGTTTGTATCGTCCTCCTGAAAAAAGCTGTCAGGCAAAAGTTTCCGCACACTTTGTTCTCCATCATTGTCTTAGAAGGGATGATCATGAATATTCGTGAATGGAGTTTCTCGAGAGAAGAGGAGAGCGGAACCGTAACAGATCATACCGGTGTTGGTGCCACAGCAGTCTTGGTATCGTCCACCTGGAATGTTCGTATTCGATCATGAGCTTCAAAGGGGTATTGTTCCCGTCAACACCTCAGGAGTGAGAGATGGTCATGTGATTCAGTTGATAAAGGAGCCGTACGTATAATAAGTAAATCATACCTGTTGTGGAGTGGGTAGAACAGCAGTGTTTGTATCGTCTGCTTGCTAAAATACACTACTAGAGGCTAATTGTAATCGTATTTCCACTGTTGATCCGTATTTAAACTACTAGATCAGATAGTTGAGTAGTATGATTACCGACAACGACCTAAAGATAGCCGGCGACTGCGCGACGCGACGTCTCCCTTGCAGGGCATGCCGAATATTGGCGTAGCCGCAGAAAAAAACTCATAACTCGCTTCCAGAGCAGCCCAGAGATGGGGAAAAAGTGGAATAAGGTTAGCAAGGGGTTGTCGAACCAATTAGGGGAGACATACCCGAAATGGGCGGGGCGTCCTTGAGATAGGCGGTGCTTCCCGAGAAATTCATTAACTCGGTTCCCGAGAGAGTTTAGAAATCGCAAAAAAGTCGGTGTAGGAGGGCAACACCTGGGGAGAGTTCGGCATGCCTGAGGTGTGTTGAGACCCGCCCACAGTGGGCGGAGCTTGCTCTCATTCATAGGATGCACATTCAAAAAGTGGATTAATGTCAGCAAAGGGTGGCCAATTGAGAAATGTGGGGCACACATGTTGTGGGCGGTGCCAGTCCGAGGTGGGCGGAGACAGACAAAAGGGTCTGTAAAACGGTTCCAGAGCACTCAACGATGGGAAAAAAGTAGGTCAAGGTCAGCAAAGGGTTGCCGGTAATAAATATGGGCCAAACATGTTGTGGGCGGTGCCAGCCCAAGGTGGGCGGAGACAGGGAAAACGGCGTTTAATACGGTTCCAGAGCAGGAGAGACGGAAAACAGTAGATCAAGGTCAACAAAGGTCGCTGGTAATGGATTTTTTTCCACTGACATTGTTTCACACACGATTTCTTATAAGCAGGTATTGATGTTATTTGTTTCTTATAAGCAGGTATTAGTGTTCTTTGTTGTTGTTACCAACTGGCTCGCCGGCTGACGCCGGTGCGCCATCCCTCTGTGACACTACCCAGCTTCGCCATGCGTGCCTTCTTTCGTACGGTGATACTCAACTAATATCCGGCTTCCTCTCATCTGTGCGCTTGATCAACGCTGCTTTCCACCATTCCATAGACGGTAATAGTATTGGAAGCAGCAGCGTGATGCTATTGGTTAAGGAGCGCTGACCATGTGTACAGATGAAAGAAAAGCTGGGTATCAGCTGAGTATTGAAACATAGAAAGAAGGTAGCGCGGCAAAGACGCGCTCGCCCGGCAAAGCCGGGCCGTACCATAGAAGGAGCCGCGCCGGTATCAGCCGGCGAGCCAACCGGTTGCTATATAACGGTGAAGTGCGGGTCATTTTTATTATCTGCCCTAGCATCGATTGCTTCTCTTTTCTATACTCCTCTGAGCCGTATGCTCATGTAGCGAGACAACAATATCTGGCATCGGGGATTTTGGACGGCTCAATGCTTGGATATCGCGAGCGGTGCCTTTAAGCTGGCAGCTCAGTTGTGTGATTATGACTAGATGGAAAATAGAGATGAAGAGTCCATACCAGTTTTGGAGTAGGTGGCACAGCGGTGTTCAAATCCTGCTCCTAAAAGGTATCAGGAGAGGTAACATATCAATGTTTCACTTATTTTTTTCTAATGAGCACGAGAACTTTATACAAATGGTCGGCCCTAATCGGCTTCGGAGGTGGAACATTTTGCTAGTTTAGTAAGTGGAAGTTCGTACGCTCCTTTAGCTCTTGTGAAGCTAGTGTAGCACAAGTAGTGCAACACATAAATTTTCGCAAGTTGGCAGGAGCCCGAAGGTATTGTCTGAGCGCCTATAAGGAAAAAAATCTCGAAAAAATTTGTGAAATGTTGCGAAGCTGCGAAAAAAGCAAGCTTCGTCGAGGCGCTCAGACGATACCTTGAACTACTGCCAACTTGCGAAAATTTATGTGTTACACTACTTGTGCTACACTAGCTTACAAGAGCTTACGGATCTTTGAAAAATTAGCTTCACAAAAGATGACAGGTCTTTGAATAGCCTGTGCGACTCCGCTGGTGCCATTGCATAAGATCATGAGAGTTTACACCCCTACATGTGGATGGGAACAACGGAAATGCCTTCTCCCCTTTAGGCAAGTAGCTCCCAAAGTGGCCTGGGAGATTCCGCGAGGGAGAGTAAGCACCACCTCCCCGAAACAGCAGAACTTATCAACAGCACATACCATAGGCGTGGGTGCATTTGCCGTCCTGCATTCTTCATCCTGAAAATGACATGCTTTTGAGAAGAACAAAAGTATTCGCAGATCTGTCCGAATCTGTTTAAGTAATCCTATATTTCAGCAGCTAGAGTTCTCATGTACACTCACAGTCACTGTCTTTTCCACTGTACGCTTCGTTACAGTTTCTGTTGTTTTTTCAGACGTCGTTCCTGCTACGGTCGAATCTGGTGGCTCCTTTGCAGTTACAGACTAGAACATGAATATGATCATAACAGAATGATCATTCACGGAATACACTACAACGCAAAAACTGGTGGAGTTGAAACATATAAGCAAAAGCCTCGATTGTTTGCGGTCGAGGCTCGTGAGCAGTACTAGAAACGTCTGCTTGCAAAAACAAACGAGGGTCTAGGAACTGCAACGAGTTTGATGAGAAAATCACAGAGCTCGTCCCTCGAAGACCCGTGATACGTGAAACGCTAACCAGGTCCGCGGTCAAAGAGAAAGTATCACTTTGGTCCACTCAAAAAGTGCGAGGTGAAGGTGCAAGAAACCGGAGCCAGTACCGAGCGTCCTGCCTACACGACAACGACTTGTACCGCAAAGTATCGAGCGTTTGTTGCCTGGAGCGCGGTAAGGCAACCATGTGCTGTTCGCTGAGAAAACACTGTGCCTGCAATACTCAGTACTGACCCAATAGCGGTAAGAAATGGAAGAGGATCCCTAATCTGTTCTTATTGACTGATATAATAACTTATCACCTACTGAGTCGACTGCTGAATGAGCTCGTGTTGATGAGTTGCACAACTTTTCTAAGAGAGCGTTTTTGGAAAGAAACACATGCAGTCAGAAACAATTCATCTTGCATGGTAGAATGTGTTTTGGCGTTACTTCGGTTCACTAATGATTTG